ACACAAGTTGATTCAAGAAAATACACAATATTATTTTGTCCCTGTTGGTTTCAATAAAAGAGCAATGACCTGAACATCTGCCTTGCCTATTTTTTGGGCAGAATAACTAAATGTGCTGCAGAGACTCTGTAAACTCTGAATCTTACCCTGTAGATCTACTGTACCCGTGGCTTTCTGTACAAACATTTATATTATTTCTTAGACAGGAAAAATGGATAAGACTTGGTAATTTAGGAGCAGGTTAGACAGTATTACGTGCAAAGTGATTTTCTATGTGATCGGAATATGTTATGAATGTGTATAAGTGTATGCTAGTGTATGCATGAGTCCGACCTATTTACTTGTAAAGTCCCTTGAGATGACATTTGTTGAGAACTTACATAAACCAAATTTGCTTCAGAAGACCTTACTTTGACTTTATTTCACTAAAACTGAGTCAGTATTTTCCATTAAAAAAAATCTAGTACTAAAAAACGTTTTTTTTTTTTTATATTGGGTGATTTACATGAATCATTCCAAACCACATATTTGGATTTTGCTAGCGAAACACTCAGAAATAAAAATGGTATTTATAGTTGGTTAAAGTATAAAAGTGTTTCTAATAAAACAAATTAAAGGAATAAGGCATCTTTATATTAATGTTTTTTTTGTTTTTTTTTTGTATAACGCAGAACTAGCTTTTAACCCTGCTTACCTGCAGAGGTAGCACCCAGAAATCCATTTTCTATCTCTCTTTTTTTGGTTTACATTTTTGAACGTAAACCATAGAAAGATTTTCTATGGTTTACATGAAAGAATATCTGCCGCTGCTATATATTTATATATATATATATATATATATATATATATATATATATATATATATATATATATATATATATATATATATATATATATAGCATAAATATATATATATATACATATATATGTATACATACGCATATACATGTGCTCACATTTTGATCTTAACGAGTCCCCATCTCAAATCTTGGGATTGCCACTTTTGCCCCACCCTTTCAGACTTTACTGTTTTTGGTTACAATTGCTATGGAAATCTCGGAAACACGGGATACCCCAAAAAACATTCCATTTGAATAGTCATGCTGACCAGGGACTCCCTTTGGTTTCGTCAAACAAATGTAATCCGGCTGGCGCTTCAATGGCACGCTCCCACAAGAATAAAAAGGGAGTGGCCCTGTTCCATATGAGTATATGTAAACAGCGCTTGGTTTCCAGAGTTACCAGTTATTGAGTGTTAAGGAAACGTGATGCATGTGGAGACAAACACTCTCACAGACAAAATAAAACAAAAACAGAAAGAAAAACACCGTTTCCAGGTGTTATATAATTCAGAAAAAATACAAAAACATCTCCACCTAGTCAAGGAAATATAAGTTGAAAACAAAGTTCATGAAGAATAAATATTTTTTATTTGCAGTCATAAAATTATTACAATTAAATAACATTTTAATATTATACAAATATTTCTATTTACACAGGTTTTTCCTTTTGACAAAACTTGAGGTTACAGACTTCTATTTGTTAAGTCAATGCATAAGGAGATCATTTTAATGCTACATGGGTTCATGTTTTTTGTTGTTTTTTTAAGCTTACCATGAAGTGTATTGCTCTTTAAATACAATAGTTGACACAATAGCTGATACAATAGTTCAGACCAACCTCTTTGACTTGCAGATGGAACATACCTTCTTAAGAATGAAACCCTTTCTGAGAAAAGGAGTCTAATTTTGAAACGCTCATGTCTATAAAGCAGCTTTAAAAGCCACTGGTCATAGTTGCATTGCTGAACTGCATATTGCTTTTCCTTTTAATAACATATATTTAACATATTCTCTTCTTTATATTTTTAAAGACATGCAGTGCTAGAAGGTAAAGACATTGTTGTAACTAAATGAGATCGACAGACACGAGTCACAGTTACAAAAATAAAGTGTTTAGCTTTTCTGTAAGTTGTGCTATATTTCATCTCCATGGTAACAAGGCACTAGACATACATTTTTGCGTGTAATCTAGTTATTAACTACAGATGAAAGAGCCAGAAAAGGTTGTTTCTTGTGATTAAGATGTGATTTATGATTTGATACGAGCGACTAAAAATGCTCTCACTGCCTTTTATAGCTCAGGGTATTTTAATGAGCAGCAAGTCGTTCTTGATCTGGATCTTGCTTGCCTGCATAATTGGGGTCTGAAAACGCTGTGGTGGTTGAGGAAATACTAACAGTTCTTTGGTTTAGACGGAAAAGTTCTGATCCACGTTTGTGTACGTGCTAAACACTGATTCCAATCATAGAGGGGCTGGTACTGGAAATATCTCTGTGCTTTGTCCGTTTGCACTGTGAAGGTGGTGCTGGCTACAGCCAGCGTATATCGGTTAAGCAGTGGTGTGTAGTTGTATACTGGACTCAGTATCCAGCGAAGAAAGTCATTTAAGAAGGCCAGGAACAACAGAACGATTGCAGGCATGCGGACCTTCCGAAAGTTGAACTCAGACAGCAATGTCATGTTGAAGTCCTCGTAGCTTTTATAGGGGGAGTCATCGTAGCAGAAAAAAGCTTCACCACCAACTTTCCCAGGATTCCCTCTCAGGGCTCGAGCAGCAAGGACATGCATCCAAGCGACGTTACCTGGTAACACAAACAGAATTAGGACAATTGAATTAATGCCATGAAGCTCTGCAAAAGATATCCAGTTAGGGTGGAGATTTTTTTTATAGTCTCTAAGGTGGTTGCTCATACCATGGATTAAAATATCTAAATTAAGTACAGTACAGTGTGTTGTGCCTTTGTAATTAGCTCCCCTGAGTCATTTCAGTCAAGAACCACCTTTCACTACAATTAAAGCTACAAGTCAAGGCAAGTTTATTCATATATCACTTTTCATTGTGCTGACTGAAAAAAAGTACACTGGAGTGGCATAATGCAGTTAAATAATTAATGAACATATATTAAAATGTATCATTCAAATTTAAATATGATAAAAATGGATGAAAGTTAAAGTTTTTTTCGCTAATGTGTCTACCAGCTTTGCTTCCCCGACTGTAATATTTAACAACTTATTTGGAAAAAGACTCAAACGCAGTCAGATTGGATAAGAGCCTGGAAAACAATCAAGGGTTTTTAAACTCTAGGCTTTAGCGGGGTAGTGACCCGCAGCTTTTATATATGGATGCTGTTTTGATGTTGAAGCAGAGTTGTATTTTTAGGTGGTATATAAATAAAAAGGACAGGAGTTTCTTTTCTGTTCTTAACCTAGCTCTGGCTGGATGTCTAGATTTGCTATCCTGCTGAACTATCTCCCACCAGCTTTCCCTCACTAGGACAAGTTAAGTTTGAGTCTGATCTGAGAAGATCATGTTCTCTAATGTTTTCTATGCATCCTGCAACTTTTAAACTTGTTTCCACCTGGCCTTCCATAAGAACCAGGTTTGTGAAGGGCACATGTTGTTACAACTAACCAAGTTTTGGATTTTGTATCTCTCTTGCTTTGTACCATGGTGGAGAGCCCTACTGCAGCATTAGCAGAGACGGTGATAATATTTTTATACAAATAATGGCAGAGAAAAATGTGTACATTTCTAAAGACGAGATAAGCCCAACAAGAAGATATAGAAAGCAGTTACTGAAGACTCAGGTTAAGAACCTTCATATATATACTAGCTCTTTAATGAGAAGGTTAATAAGCAAAGCAACCGTGTTCTGGCTGTTATGTAATTATGTGAAGCATTTCTCTGCTTTGCTTCCTGTACATGCTTGGAGCAGGTGTTTTAGAGTCTAAGTGTGACCCTGCATGAATTTGATAACTATCAGATACAAATATGTAAAACTTTCTGAGAAACATGAAGGAAGTGTGGGTGTTACATGCTTCTGCTTTTAGCTCTGGTCTGATTTGATCTTAACATGTTGTGCCTTGAAATCTATTTACCCTGAGTATCCTGCCTTAAAAGATTGACTTAAGCTTGATTTGTAGCGTATGCAAGAAATACAACAAACTTGTCTCTTAAAAGTAGCTTTCATTTTTTGAAATGTTGATGTTTTTACCTGCATAGACACGCCCATGTTCAATGTGATCTGGGATGCCCCCAATAACAAGGCCTCCCCGTTCTGCAGCCAGGTTGTAGAAGTCCTTCATTAGATGGTGACCTTCGCCATAGATCCCCGTCGGTCTTAGTGAGCAGGTGTATAAACACTCCCCCCCCCTCACCTAAAGAGAAACAAAAAACAAAAAAAAGAACCTGTCAGGAAACTGTAATGGCTTCAACCAAATAGTAGAAAAACAGAGACAACCCCAGATAGCTCAGCGTAAAGATTTATTGTTTGGATTGCAAACTGCTGAAAACACTTTGCAATGAAGCAATAAGGGAGGGAGCCTGGCATTCTGTGGCAAAGACATTGCACAAGTTCCCGCCCCCCAGCTGGAAGGCAACTGGACTTTCACTCAAAACTGAGAATGTCCAGTCGCCTTCCACCCAGCACTAAAGAATTCACGTTTAAACCAAACCAAGTTTGACAGCCAATAAATATACAACAGCTGTATAGAGTTTAGCATAACAGCATGTTGCGGGGATATGGAGAAACTTCCCTACATAGTTCTATTAAAGTTTAAAAAATTTATTTACTATGATGCGTCATAATCTCAATTTCCCAAATGGGCTGTTTCAAATAAATATGCCCTGCAAGTCAGTGGTTAAAAGTACATAAAAAGTTTTTACCAGTATTACCTTTCTGCCATTGGCCTCCAGGATCATTTTCTCTGCCTTTGTCTTACTCTTGGGATAGGCCATAGTGTGCTTAATTTCATACTTCGTGTCTTCATTGCCTCTGCAAAGAAAGAGAACATTTTTTAACATGGAGTAGAAAGTAATTTTAATGCGTCATAGCATAAAAAATACACATAATGAAGCCAAAATATGTTTCTTGTTAAGGTGGGCGTTGCTGGAATTTTGACAGAGGAAAAGATAAAGCACATTTATGCATAGAAAATGTAACATAAGCAGATAGAGTTTCCTTGACCTTCTGCCCACATCTAAATCTAAAGAAATTGCAAAAAACAAAAATTTGTTGATATAACAATAATATAATGTTTTACAATTCTATGCAGAATTTTGCAGGTTTAATTTTCTCAGAATTTTTATCTACGTAAAGTGAGCACATCTCTCTTACAAAAGCAACTCAAGCTTCATTCTTACACAATGACTTCATGTTGTAACTCTATCAGAGTGAGAAGTTATTTTGTGATGCTGCAGTGCTATACATGCCATTAGGCAAAGACAACACTTGGAGCAGACAGCAGCTCTTTCAGCAGAAGCATTGCTGAGGTTTGCCACAGCAAGTCTTGACTGAAGTTTCCTACATCCCATATCAATATTCCAAATTTGCTTCAACTTGAAAAAGCAATAAATCAGTTTTAATGTTATGATCTCACCTTAACACAATACAGGTCGTGTAAATTTTCATTTAAATCAGCACACTCTGAAATCCAGAGACCACGTCAAATAAACAGATAATGTGATGTTTGCCAATTAATGCTCTCGGATTCAGTTTTTTTTTTTTTTTCCCTTCACGATAACAGCAATATTTCTGCTGTATTATTATATAGAGTGCCTAATGTTCTAGACCAAAAGAACTTGAAGGTCAGACAATGAGACATGATATTTAAAAAAGCTGATCATGTAAAAATTCAGCCACAAAAGGATCCATCCCCTCATAAACAGATGCCTTTATTTACTTTCTATGCATCGCATTTATTTGATTCATAAACAATACTTTTCAATCTAAAGGGGTAAAACTACTTTTTGCTCCACATAACTTGTAATAATAAAGGGGTAAAACTACTTTTTGCTCCACATAACTTGTAGCCTTGTCTTTGGATGAATTATTTTGGAAGCAACAACAAAAAAACCACAAATCATATTTTGCACGTATAATCAGCTTAACATAGGCTCTAAATGTATTAATGTGTGATAAAATTCCAGAGTAGTCAGATTCCCTTTGTGGAGACTTAAACTCCTCATCAAACAATGACTGTGTGTGTTCTTTCCAAAATAAACAGGATTAGACAGGGCATAAATGGGAAATAATCATATGGTTTTAACTAGCATCAGCACGACTCGGGCTCTGCGTCTCTAATTATGTGTGCGCGTCTGTGGTTAGATGATTACTAAAGAATACCACTCACAAAAACAGCACAGATGTCTTTAGACAGCATGCTATTACAAATTAGTCATTTTGAATGAAGTGGGATGTTGATGTAACCTTTATTCTTTGATGCACCAACATTCAAACTCAGAATGTTTAGTCTAGACAAGGTCGACAGACATTATAAAAGTGAGCTGATGATTGTCTGTGATGGGGAATGCTTATAATAATAATAATAAAGCATGAGTGATGGCTCTGTTTATACTCTAAATTCTGATGAATACTGAGGCATGTTTGAGATCCAAGACACAGACACTGGGTCTACAGCAACGCTAAATGTCTTTTTGATCAGACTCTCATAGTGGGGCGCTACTATGGTGATATGACAAGGCAGTAAAACAAAAGCTGTTTTGTTTTTTATACAGATTTGTTCCCTAAATAAAATTCAAAGTATCCCTGAAAACCTTATCAGCAACTCAATCTATCCAGTTTCGATCATTATCTGCAGCCTTCATATTGATGAACTACTGTTGATTCCCATAGAGAGGCAGGAAGGGATGGGGCCAAACTATCTGACGAAGTGGAGCCTAAATTAACAACAGGTGGTTGCTTAGTTTGCAGGGGAAAAAAAAGAACCTCAAAGAGGAAATATGCTGTTGTTAATTCAGAAAAATGAATTTTACCTCTTGAAGTGATCTCCATTGAGGTTGGGTCCAATCACTTCCATGCTGCTTGTGTAGACAAGGCACTCAACGCCACATTCCACGCACGCTTTGATCACATTCTCCGTTCCTGAGATGACAGGAAAAAAAAAACAACGTTCAACATCAAAAACTGGTTCTCTGTTTCTTGTGAATCTACACGGGTGAAACTGGATGCCTTAAAAAGAAAGCTTAATTTTCCCTTAGCATTAAAATAAATTACATCCATTGCGGCTTTTTAAATTGGACTGTGCTTGTGTCACTGTACACCCAGTAAATAATGCACAAGGACTGTGTAAACATGTTTTAAACAAGAGTATTGGATCCACATGGGCTCATATCAAAGGCTCCCTACCACTTTTGCACCAATTAAATGTGGACCTCCATTGAAAAGAACTCAAGGAATGATAAGTGGAAACAGGAAACCTCATTTTATATGATCTTTTTGTCATTTGGAAATATTAAATTGGATTCAGATTCCAAGTAGAGACATGGTTCCCCAGCTCAAATGTTAATTTGTCCATACTTTTGTTTTTCAGCAGCAGATAACAGTCAGTCAATATTTATGGGCACTGTAGGTAATTTTTGTGTCACTTGGGAGCAACTAGAACTTCTAAAAGATACTACAGTAAAAAGAGCCTTTTTTGTGTTGTTTTATTGAATTCATTTAATATTATTCCCAAATCAATTTTAAAAAATCTTAATTTTCCTAAATTTTATTCCATATCTGCCAATAGGAAACAAGCAAAAACAACAATTTAAAGATTTAAAAACTAGGGAATAAAAGACTCTTTTTTTTTATTTTTATTTTTTTATTGAATTGCATTATATTGAATGGGGGTCTAAAAAAGAAGAAAACATTTTGTTCTATTCAGCCTGAAAAGGAAACTGAAGAACGACTGAAAAACACATCAGCCAACCAAATGGTATGCCATTTGCAATAACACAACCAAAGTTATGAAAAAATAGAGACAGAGATGGGACAGTTAAATCCATTATTTCTTTATCAGTTTTTCGCCTCAAACCAAAATAAATTAAAACAGCATGTTTTGAGAGTTTGAGGTAGACAAAGGTTCTGAATGTCATTGCATGACTACCGGTAATTTATAAATCTGGGAGACAAAAGTCTGGAAAGAGGGGATCCTGAAGCAGAACCTATGTTGGCCCAGAGCAGATTCTCTGAATTTTTGTCATTCTTGACACAGAACTGGAAGTGAGACCAGGTGGAGCCAATTTCTCTTATAAAATAAAGTTCAGAAAGAAAGAAAGCTTCCCTTTGTGCTGTCATGAATAATGGAACAATCAGCTGTTTGGAATGAATCCTCTAAATAATCAACTCAGGCTCCATGTGCTGCGTGATCCTCTGCAGGTTTTGTGGACTGAGGCACACAAAAAGGCATGCAGCAGCGTCAGCCAACAGATAGCAAAAGTCTCCGGTGTCCTAATTGTTGACTCAGTAATATCTGATCCCAGCCAAACACACCCAAAAAGCTAAAGAGAATCAATCTAAAAAATCTAAAGTTATACAATTTATTTTATTAATGAGGAAGCTGTTGTTTGAATTCAGACCCAGAGTGCCTACTTTTATTATTTTATTTTAGAAACAAAAAAATGCTGCTCAATTTATCACAGATGTCTGTGGGATATTTTCAGACATCTGTTTTCCAAGATAAGGCTGCAAAATAATACAAACTATTGTGTGCAGGGCATTTTGTTGAAACCAAACTCAGAAACACAGACCAACACTTTGGAAAAGGACAAAAAACAGACTAAATGTTTAAAGAAGCCTAAACTTTCTGGTTCCAGTGCCTCTTCGTGTGTTTTTGTATGCATTGGCCTCAAATCATTCCTATGAAATAAATCCTATCATAATTCAATTATCACATATTGTACACCTTCTTTCTTAGGAAATCCACTTGATGTTTTTATCTGAGTTTGGGAAATTAAGCAAGACCTGAAATTATGCCAACAAACAGAAACCTGAGTGGATTGGCAAATGAATGGGTTTATTTTTACCCCCTAAATGGTGGCTCTGTGACTGTAAGCTCTTTCAAGTTTCAGGAACATGACAAAGTCTAAACAGTCAGGCTTTTCACAGCTAAAATAAACTTCCATGCAGCTTTGAATGCCAACACTTTATAATTATTTAACCGACGCTGAAATATTTGATTCCTTTGAAACTGGGTGGGTAGAAAGGTAAAAGCATCTAAGACATGCCTTGACACTGTTCCCCAGAAAATCCTTATCAATCCTCTGATGGAAAAACTTTGGGAAGCATAAATCAAATCTGGACCTTGAACATTGAATCAGTCACATCCCAGTTTTCAGGAAATGAGTATAAAAAAAATAATAATTGTCTAACTTCCTGATCCACTTTGAAGTTAAGAAACAAGATCCAGCCTGGGAAAATAACTCGCAGGTGTGGATTTCCTCAGAATTTATTTCTCATCGTTTCCTCTTTCCTGTCTTCACTCAAACCCATATCTCTCCAGGGCGTACCTGTAACGTTGACAGAGTAGATCGTGGCCTCCGGAATTTTGTGCCAAACATCCACCAGGCTGGCAGCATGGATAACGACATCAGCCCCCCGGGTGGCCTCCAACACGCTGCTGTAATCTGTGATGTCTCCTTGGAGGGTAGTCACTTTCACATCATCTGTGTTAGAAACAGGAAAGAAACAACATGTATATAATCAACCCATTATTATATAGAAGGAAACAAAATATTGGGCAGGAAGATATGAGCAGTTATACTTCTTGACATAAGACCTGATATTTTCTTTTGAAACATCCCTAAATTGGACAAGATAAGGAATCTCTGACAAACTCACCATTAAAAGAGGGTTAATTGTGGCAACACATTGGTGCTCAATTAAGAAAAATGAATGCCGTGTTCAGTCCATTAAATAACAGTGATGGATTCGTTTAGTGGTGATTAATTTGCCATAAATTCAGATTAATTGGTGTAAATCCAGATATAAGGACCTCAGAGGCTAAAGCTATCCGATAATCTGCAAAGAGTCAGATCTAAAGCGGATTTCTGTCAAATCTCAATAAAGTCAAATAGGTTTATTCACATGCAAGTTCATAGAGGGTTACTTATAAGCAAATCATTATCTACAACTGCGACGCACAAGGCGAGGCGCCACCACTGTACTCAAAAACCCAAACATGTAAAAGTTGAGAAGCATTGAAAAAAATAAACTATTTCAGTTTGGATTAATTGAGCCTCATTATGTTTTGTTTTACACGGGTTCTTTTGTTCATTGTTATTTTTCTGATCAGAAATCCTGTACATGTTCTTTTCTTAGAACAATTTTCACAGGGTTTTTTTTTTTTAGGTTTGATATCTGCTGTCCCTTTAAATGACAAAAAAAACTTTAACCTCACACTTCTTGGAACTCTATTAGTCTGATAGCGAAGCAAAGAGAGGTTATCATTTTAAAAGCTCTTGAACTCCTGGTTTATCTTTGCCCTCATGTCCCTTCCTCTAAATGCTGATAGTCATGTAAGCAGAAAAAAAAATCAACTAGACTTTAAACCTTTGCACATAGAAGCTATTGCTGTGTAACTACAAATGAAACCATTGACCAGTTTAAGCCAGTTTGAAAATTCTCCTTTTTCCTTTCCTTAACAGCCTTAACACAGGGCTCACAGAGGCATTTCTCAATGGTTTTGGCTCAACTCTGATCTATTGATGAATTGCATTGAAACAACACACCCCAAGCTTTAGTTCCATCTCATAATACCTGATTAACATGAACACGAAAAAAAAAATCCACTGATTGGTGCATTGATCCAGCTAAAAAGGTAATTTACCTTAATAATAAGCACTTTAAATAGAATATTACGGGAGTCCACAGAAAGCCAAGCACAGAGGTTAAGTGCTAAATAATTTAGTAAGGAAACTAAAGCTGCAGACTTTCCATGTCTGTCATTTTAATTGGATAGAAAAAACTACCACTTTGAAACAGGAGGTTTTGAGAGAAATATTCATCTAAATCCTAATAAGGTCCCTATGGACCAATATGCAATAAAATTTATAGAATTTTAATGTTATTTTTTTTAGCAAGGAAACTATGTATTTAAAATGTAAACATAATAAAAATAGGGATATTTAAATTTACAAAAGGATGCATTTTAATTACAGTAATGTAATAATTTCAGCAGCCTTCATTCTAGAGCATATTAGACTTAAAAACACCTCAGAGTAGCTTAAATGTTCTCCAGAATGAAAACCCAAAAGATATTTTTAAACCGCATATTAGCAACCTAAGCAGAAAATACTGAGCAGTGTAACGGTGAAAAAAAACCTTACCTGCGCCTCTCCGCTCGCTAAAGCTCCGGTCTATGTGTTTGTCAAACACCCGCACCTCCGCCAGCTCTTCCTCCTTCTCTATCAGAACATCAAGCAGATGCTTTCCGAGGAAACCGCAGCCTCCGGTGATCAAATAGACGAGAGTTCGTTTGCTTTCTGTCATTATGCAGATGAGAGCTGCTGAGGTACGATTGAAAGCCGAAGCTAGAAGAGCGCTTATATAGGAATATGGGCGTGGCTTTCTACAAGGAAGTGGGGGGGAAAATAAACCAAGCAGTTGCCCTGACTACGGCACCAGCATTTATCTGCGTCTCTGTATATATTGACTTAGATGTATTTTGTCATTTTGTATACACTTGTACTGAGCCCCTCTTAGACAATTTCACAAAACATAAATACATAAAAAAAATAATAATATAAAGCCTGGAACCGAGTCTTTTTTCATCTCACCTGAATCAAATGGCTAAACGCCTCTCCAGTATGCTGTTTGTTGACATTATCATTAGATGAAATAGCAGAAAGGTTGGTAGAATAAAATGTGAAGGGAGGACAGGCTAGAATGTAAGAAGGGTTAAGATTTAAAGCAAACACTCCAATATGAAAATAAACAATCTATGGAAGCTTTTCTTTCTATGTTGGGAAGATATGTTGACAAGTAAATATTAAAAAATATGAATGCATTTACTGGTTTATATTTTCCCATTAAAGGTGTTTGGTTTATTATAGATAACTGTGAAGATGACCAGTAAATCTAGCATTTGTAATGCTGATGGAAGCACGTTATACATTGTATATCATGTGACAAATGAATACCAAGCTATTCTAGTAGTGTGAGTCATGTTGAGTGTTTGTAATGATCGTAGTGATACTGAAACAGAAAATAAAAAAAAACTAACACTAAAAGAATCAAGTTATTGTGTCACCTTACATGTCATAACAGGCCTAGTGGTTAGGGCATGGAGCTTGGAATCCTGATACTCTCAGTTCAAGCCCAACTCCCACAGACTGCCACTCTGAGCAAAGACTAACCACACACTGCTCCCCAAGGGGATGGGTTGAATGCAGACTTAATTTCGTTGCTCTGTACTTGTGACAGTGTAATAACAATAGGAGAAAAAAAAAAGATTAGAATAACTGGATCCCAATCTTTACATTTTGGCGTGGGGCAAGGTTCACTTAAATCACGCTCTTAAATAATCTCTTCATGTTTGTAGTGGTGTATTCGTAAAATCTGGTCATTCTCTATCGCTACTATAGATACATTATTTACCGAACGAACAAATCCTGAGCAGACGGAAATTTCCAGCGGAACCAATTGCGCAATGCAGTGTTCTGTAGCGCAACATTTATATGTAACACCTAAACATTCTATAGGTGACTCAACTCTTGCGTTTTTGGAAGATCAATGTTTTTTTTAATGGTATTACAGTGGTAAAATAGCAATGGGTCGTACCAGCACTTTATATTATTTATATACATTAAACTATCGGTGAGTAGCTTCTCTGGATTATGCTGTACAGTTTAGCTGAAATAAAAAAACAAAATAAACAAATAAGCAATATGTTAACATGACTCACAATGGGGGAAAAAATTACCTAACGTCCAAGTGGATACCCGTAGCACCAAACGATACCAAACTCGATACTTCCGATGAAATCGGTGGAATCCCGTTGATGAGGGGATTTCCCACCCACCCCAAACTAAACATGCTGCGTTCAGGTACAGCTATGGAAATATGTCCTCCATATGTCAGATATCTCACAGTAGTTCAAACATATTTTACTCCCAAGTTTTGGCAGGCTATTCTTATTTAATTGAATTCAAAAATAAACTTTCAAGTGCATTTGTACTATATAATTTATCCACACATTAACCATTAAAACCGATCCAAATCAAACTAAGTCTCATATCATGTTTTGCAATATAAAGAAAAAGTAGTTTCGGGAATGGAAATTATTTGTTAACTGGATAAAAAAAAACAAAAACAAAAAAACAACTTGTAATAATTTTCTTCATTCAAAATAGTTTAAGCTAATTGATAACCCTTGAGCTATTAAGCTCAACATCCCTCCCTCACAAGTTAAGTAAGAACAGCTATTTCATTCAGAGTCAAGGTAAATGTAGATATAAATTTAGTAGCCTTTTTTTAAAATAATGACCAGAGTGATGGCTTTCAATCAGCAGCTAATGTTATATCTATATGATTGACAAAAAACCTTAATATTTAAATACCAATCTATTTAACAATTTTTTCTTGACTGATAATACAACTTCTGGCAAAAATGATGGTTTCGCCAGTCTCATAGGATGTTCATTCAGTTTACTGTTGTAGAAAACAAGATCACATACATAACATAGAACTACATTCATTCCAAATGGCAACTTCTCCTATAAGAAACATTAAAGATAGCAGGAAAAAAAAAAAAAGATGTTGAGAGTCAACATCAGTTTGTTTTAGCTCAAGCAGATGGAAGATTATGGAATTACCCAATTCTGAGAAAGAAAACCCGGAATCCTAAAAAAGAAAAAAACAACAGGACACTGACACACCACTTTGTCGTACCACTTCTGACTTATTTAAGTGCTTGCAGCCTCTGAGGCATGGAGTGAATAAATTACCGTCTTCATCGATTTGGGTCCTACTTTCTCGGATTGCTTTTGTCAGATCGTTGAAGTTTGGAGCCTTGACATGGTTCATTTTCTTCACGTTCCCAGATTTTCAGTTGGATTGAGATCTGGACTATTTGCAGGTCTTCAAATTGACTGTGTCTTTCCATAAGGAACCTTTCAACAAGACGCATTATCTTGCTGAAAAACGATTGAACCATCCCAATACATAATTTCAATTGATGGATAACAACAATGACCAAAATGTCATTGTAAACTTGTGGATTTATTGAAAATATGTCATTTAGTTACCCATCGCTTACACCAATTCGTCAATGACTGTAGAAATTTTGATGTCTATTTAGACAGTGTTTATAAATTTCAGAAACTGTACCAACAAAAGTTTCAGCATCATAATGTTGCGCATTGGAGATCCACAATTAATCACTAAATGGCTTTTATTCCAGTTATCAGTCCACAACTTCTTTTCTTCCATTTAGGTATTAATGATGGCTTACAGTGAGCTTCTCTACATGTATATCCTCCATCCTTTAGGTGGTTTCTAACAGTTCAGTCACAAACATTCAATCAAGTTTGTTCTTTGTTTGTTCAAATTTGTTCTTGTTTCATTGTGCCTTTCATGTTTAAGACATATTGCTTTAAGTGTTCTGTCCTGAACTTTAAATGTTTTTCTTGGTCCACCAGTATGCTACCTTTAACACTCTTCCCATTTAGTTTGCACTTTTCCCTCTACTACTACTTTTTTTTTTTTTTCTTGATTTCTTTTAGTGTTTTTTTAAAGTCAGAAAGTTGCCACTTCAATTGACTGTAGATGGATTTCCTGTTAAAAAAAAATAAAAATGAAAGCATGAGGCCTTTGCCAACATGGAGACCCTGAACTCTGTCAAGGCCATTACACACTATCAGCAGGTCATTTGAAGTCAGGAGGAACTGTTTAAAGGTAAATGGTGTCAGCTAAGAGGAGAGAAGCAAGAATTAAAGTCACTGGATACGGCTATAGAAAGGAATGTAATGCTTCCCGAGAAGCTTACCCAAAATAATTACGGTTTTAGAAGTTTGGTCATTTTTGGGGAGTCAAAACTTCACATTAACATGAATGCAACACAATCATAAATGGGTAGAAATTATTCCCAAATATACATTGGTTAGTTAAGCTGATTAGATAATTAGATTTTCTGAAAAAGAAGCCTGTGTATAATTCCTGGTCCAGTCTGTAAATGGAAAAGTACGTATCATCTTGTATCATACCTTCACCTTAAAATCTTACGTTTCCTGGTTATGGCGGCATGCACTTCTGGGAAAGAAAAAAAAAACAACAAAAAAATGGTCAGAATTTCAATGCCGTAAAAACATGTGTGAACTTGATGCAGGGCCTTTCCAGCTGAGGTCAACATCTGTGCAGAGAACGCAGCACTCCCTTCCACTTCCCGTTTCCATTTAGAAAAAAAAAAAAATGTGAAGACAAGTTAATATTTGCTGAAGTTATTTAAGTAAAAACATCAAATTTTCTTTTTTATTTAAAAAATATTTTTAATGCACCATTAATAAAGGGTTCAACGCATTAATACAAGAGAAATATTGCAAATAATATTAAAATAATCAAATCAAAAGGAAAAAAAAAACAATAAAAAATAAATGAATGAAAGGTATGTACATGTTTCCTCCTCATGGAGAGAGAAAAAGAAACAACATATTTACAGCCTGGAATCTGTTTGTTTCTACAAGAAACAAACATCTCTACAATATTTACATGAACTTCTTCCATTTTTTTTTTCCTTTTTATCCTGTAGTAAATAGTCTTGTTTTATATGGAAAGGCTTTCATTGCAACAAGCATTATAGCACACAATTTTCTGGTTGTGAGGAAAACACAAAAATAAAAGGAGTCTAATTAAAAGTTTGAACATTGAAGTTAAACTTTGGACGGTCAGAGTTGTTGGGGAAAGAGTTAACACAGGAGAGCCCCATGGTCTGCAGTGTAACACTCACTCATCCAGCATAAACACAGCCATACAAGCACCTGGCACAGAAACGCGCTGCAGTCAGATTTGATAAAAGACATTTGCTTGCCTTATCAGAATGTTACATTTCAGTAAAGGATGTTAGGTTTTGACTTGCAGCTACACAACCAGCTAAATAAATACTAGTGAATTCTGTAGGAGTGGGGGGGAAACGTTCCAGTTTTCTTTGAAGATATTGGACCTTATTAGGAAACTAAACTTATGCATCATCACAACTTTTTTAAGCTAGTAAAGAAAATGCTAATAAAAATATTTTGCCAACTACTGACACAAGAAGTGAAGAGTTTAAAAAAATATATTGTAAAGAAACAAGAAAGACATACTGCCTCGCTTTAAACCTGCATTGTTTGCTTATTTTACTGCTTTTAAAGGCTAGGAGACAGCTGTGTTTAAGTACAGTGTTCCAATGCTATTTCTATTTAGAAATTATTTACCATGCTAAGATTTGTGAACTTATGCAGTTTTGATCAAATTCTGGGGCTTTGAATACAAGCTATTCACGGCTGGTATTATACATTCTTCATTTCAAGAGTGTAGGTCTTGTTTTAGCCACATATGAAATACAGTACCCTTCAACAAGTTTAAACTCTTACAAGTTATCAATAAAATTAAAGAACTGAAAGTTTGGTGAAAGTTAAGTAAATCACATTAAATGTCTTTTTCAGCCAAAGTTGGAAGTTGCCTAAAGTCTAAAATGTATTGAAATTGTCTTTTTCTTATGTGTGCTTCTATGTAGCAAGTCATAAATATTGATAGGTAAAATAATTTTGTTTTAAAAATGAATCAACTTTAGAACTTTAGAAGAGAAAAAGTAAGGAAAAATCTGATATTTTTTCTGATGAATGGTCTGGTCTTTTTTCACCAGACACAACCAGACCTAGAAAGGAAATTCTAGATTTTCAAGACTGTATAGGAACCCTGAATACAAATATTTTTGTCTGCAGTTGCTTTTGTAGTTCAGCTAAATGTGGGAACAGTTAAAATATGCTAATCCTGGACAGAAAACAGACCATCTGGTTTAGAGAACCTGTGGAGCAGATTCAAGCATAGCATTAGGTTGAGAGGGGACTGAGAATGTCTAAATAACCTTTCCAACAGCTAACACTCCCTAAATGGGCGCTCAATGCAAATAACCCTTTACAAACCTTAGGAGAACTACATAACCTCCAAATAGAAGAAATGCAGAAATCACAAGAATGCCACAAATAATGATCTATTTAAGCAGTTAAAAGCAAGTACATCAGTGTCTATATTGAGCACAAAAAAAGACAAAGAAAACAATTTTGTTTTGCTGACCCTACAAGTAACAGCTACTCTGAAAAATAACACTTTTAGGCGACAAAAGATTGCTGCAAATCAGAGGGTTAATGCACAGAACATGGGGGACACGGAGACAGTAGTTCAACAAAGCTGGTTGAATCAAAAAGCCACTGAGGAGAAAGTCATTGTAAAATCCTCTATGCAAACAACAAAATAACAATGCTATTAATTACTCCGGGAGTATTCAAATGGTTGGAAAAGATTCAAAACTATCACACTCAGAAATCTTGCATAACTGAAAACTTTTTTTAAAGAAGTTTTTTTCATTCTAAAAGTGCGCCCATTAGAAGCTATTTTAAAAACCCTGAATTCATCTGGTATTCCTGTGCGTTTGTGTGGGGACGTGGAAAAAGAGGGGCTCTGACACGAGAGGAGAAAATCTCTGGATATATTAAAAAAATGTGATCTGACAAAGGAAAATAAATGACCTGTGTGTTATTGTCTATTAAACGAACGCTGGCACGGAAACAAAAAAAACCCTTTCATGACTTGTTCACGGGAGAACGACAATACTGCCACAAAGAATCCACTGATTAGGACCGCCGCCAATACAAACCCAAATAAAAGGGGCATTAACGTCAATGAAAAGTGTGCATGAAAAGTGCAAATGTGTGCGACACAGTTTCCTACTTATTGTGGGGACTACTGAGGCCATCCAGGAAAAGAGGAGAGACTTTAGATGGGGGGGCTTTGTTTCAAGTTGTTTCAATGAGCAGGATGGCATCCAGCTCGGCCCAGCCGTTGGCAAGAACAAAAGGGAAGTGCTTTCACTAGTTGAGCGTCCCTCGACAGTTCTCTGTTCCACACAGGCAAGGGATCTTGTTCTCCTCCAAGGGGAATTTATAGTCATAGGTGATTTCTTCATTAACAGCGATAGGCTGCTTCGAGTAGATCACAATCTTCTTCTGGGACTCTATGGTGATAACCTTGGCGTAGCAGTTTGGCTAAGGGAAAGAAGAAAAAGTATGAGGGCGACAGCTCGAAACAATTGTAAAAACATTTCTGGTTTACACCAATGTAGATCAAAACTCACAGTGCAGCAGTGATTGATGAATCGCGCCAGGTTGCCACATTTTGTGGCATCTATTATTGTGTCGTGGTCCACTCTAAACAAGTAGCTGCTCCCGATGCCTTGCTGAGCGTACCGCTTCTCCCTGTTATCAGCCACCATCTGCACCAACAAGTCAGATAATACAAGGTCTTAAAATAAGTAAAAAAAACACAAACATTTTTCTAAGAGATTCTTAAGAGCTCTAATTTATTGAAGCTCTGCAAT